CGCACACCAGAGGTATAGGGTCCGGGCCGAGAGCCTATGGGACTCTTGGCCACTGGTTAGGACCTATTGGGAAGTGGGGGGGGGGTGTTCTGGGTGGTGGATTCACGGGGGATATAAACCGGCCTGCCAGCCAGCTAAAGTTATCTTGTTCTGCACTAATAAAGTAGGTTAAGCTGAATCACTCTCAGTCTGCATACTTTTCTGTTTCCATATTGAATTTATTTGAAATTTGACTGTATTTTATTATGTTTATGTTTATGAACGGGATGGTTGAGGGAGTGACATGTAAATCCAAGACAGACAGAATAGCGGATCAGTCAGAAGACCGCCCGTTCCCTTTCCTCCGCTCCAAAGCGTTTGGGTCAAGGAGGCATTGGACACGGTTTTCACAATGAAAGGAACAAAAGAGAGCTGGACACAAGCGACGGGTCACGAAACCTCGAACCACGCAAGCCAACGAGCATATACAGCCTTTTGCCGCTGCGTGTGTGGGGGGGTGCACAGCGGGAGGAGAAAGAGCTGGCCGCCACTTTACGCAAGCGCAAAAACTCAATTAACCTTCCGTGAATCCACCACGGACGTAAGAAAGTGCATGGAAGCCACATACCGGCGTGAGAAAGTCCACTATTCTGGGAGGGGAGCAATTTTCCGAAAAATGAACTTCGGTGGGGGATTTTTTGGCCTTCACAGAGGCCTCTAAAAAATCATTGCAAAATGTTGTAGTTGGTTATAGACTAGACAAGCTCTTCCTAGAATATTTCTTTCGAATACCTACACAAAAAGAATTTAGTCTACGTGGTACAATCCACTTTAGCTCCACCAATCATAAAATAGGACCTGTAGTTCATCATCAGTGACCGGGTAAAAGAAGATGCTTTTTTTCACGCATGGAAAATGGCAGCTCTGAATGACTTCATGGCTAGCCGTGTAGGCGGGGCCTACGCTGTTTCCGCGAGGGGCGCAAACAAATTTGACTAGATTTGTAGCAAATCCAGTCAATCGCTTGCAAGAGATCCCGCGATAGGCATATGTTTCAACCAATCACCTATGGACAAAAAATAATAGTCTCTGGAAAAAGGGAAAACAGAAGCCAATGGAAACCGAGGTAAGCGTCCATTTTAACCAATCGCTTCTTAAGCTTTGGGTTCCTCCCCCAAAAGGGGTGTCACCGGGGGGAGGGGGAAGAGAAAGACGCTTAGTGTCTGGTTGCTAGGGCAGCCTTCTGTGGGAGCAAGCGGGCTGGGGGCTGCTTTTCTGGGCCCTGTTGCTCAGATATCCCAGGATTGCGTGCCTTTCTTTCATAAAAGCAGCTTCTAGTCCCTCCGGATACAAACACACTCGCTTTTCTCCCATTACGAGCTCCTGCCCATCTGCGTCCCCTCTCCGTCCCCCCTTGTTTGGGGCCACTCCCAAATCTCTATAGATCGTCTTTCTCCCTCTGGCTAAGATTGCAATTTGAAACCAGTCGCTGTTTTCCCTCCCGTCAGCTTCCCCCACCCCCCCTCCTCATTTGTCTTGAAGGTCAGTGCAGACCATGGTGAAGCTGGCTGCCAAATGCATCGTGGCAGGTGAGTGCCTGGCCGCCTTGGCAGCATCGTTACCCTGTGCCAGTCTAGGGCCAAAACATGCCCCCCCCCCCGCGTCGGATAAATTAACGGGGGTAAGAGAATGTGCGTTCCTCATAAATAGCTGGTCGTCTAAGGGTTCGGTGTACAAGCCTACTTGTTGGTCCTTGTTGTTGCACTTGGGTGAGAATTTCTTCTAAGGGGACAGGATTAGAATTGGGCTGTATAAGTGTACTCCGCCAGTTAATTTTATGACCCGTGAACAATGCTCCCTCTAAGCTGTGGAGTCTTGTGAGCAAAAATTCTACTTCGTGAGCTACTGGCGTGAAAGTTGTGAGCGAGTTGGCTACTGCATAACTTAGTTTGCTCCGGAGCCATCCTTCCTGAGCGAAGACAAGAATGTGTGAGCCGGAGGAACACTGCCTGTGAAAGCAGAAACATGAGTATGCATCAGATAGTGGCAGTCTTTCAAACACCCGCGCAAGGAGCAAAAAGTTCTCTCTGTCTGTTATTCTGATATCCTGAGTCAGATTTGACCTTCCACTTCCAGATTTAAACTCCTCATACCAGATGCTGCTTTTGCCATTCTCATCTTAGTTTTGTATTTGTGGTTTGAATTTTAGTGCTGTTGTCATGTTAAAGAGCCTTGGGGTTCTTTGGATGGGGAGATGGCTTATGTCTTTTCAAAAGAAAATAAGTACCTTAAGGGTTTATTTGGTTTCTTTGTCAGACCAGCCCCTGCCTTCAAGGGCAAAGATCTTTGGTACAATCATGGGCCTGATGTTGGTCAGGAGAAAGTCAGGCATATAAATATTTTAAATAAAATAAATGGAAAAAATGGGAAGGAAAGTGAGCATTGGTTGAGGCGTTGGGAATACTTAACAGGAATTTAAGGGCCAAGACTCTTTTGGGTTACGTTTGCCAGATGGCATAATATTGCTGGGATTTGAACTGCTGTATCTATTAAATCAACAGATGAAAAGTTATTGCTGGCTATAAGTGAAGTTTGTTAGATCATTTTTTAGTTATGTGAAAGCACTGCAAACAGAACAGAAAGCTCCAAGGCAAGACTGTTGCCCAGTGTAGTGGTTTTATCACATGACAAAAAGTGTAGGATGTTTCTCTATGATCTATTCCAAATCTGAACTTTTTTTAAAAGAAAGAAAACTTTATTTCTTCGGGGAAAGCAGCTCACAAAGTAAAAACCAGAACAACAATATAAGAATGATCGCTATTAAACCAAGCCGTTTGACCTTCATGGTTATTGAGAAGATAAAAAGTGATTTCTTTTTCTTCTGAAATGCAGTGGTAGTAAAAAATGTTCAGGGGCTCCTACAGGGTATTTTCTCCCTAGTGAGAGAGCACAGTCTCCTCTTCCCAAGGCACACCAGTCCTGCTGCAGGTAGAGTTATCTCATATAATCCATTCTGTATTTTGAAATTGCACGTGGAATATTTTTCTCATATTTTCCCTATGCTTATATTACACGTATCCATGGATGACCAGCAGGAGAGATATCCCCAGTGGGCAAAATGGGAAGATGTAATTGTCTAATTTAGACCTTTGATGCTGATACAGAATTTCCACCCTGCTTGCAAAATGTTGATGCCTAAGATTTTGTTAGTTTCTTAAATTAATTCTTATGATGCCAAGATGTTGGAAATATTTTTCCAGGTCGCAAAGTGTGCAATAGCTTCAGAAAGATGATGTGATCATTCAATTGCTACTGAGCTATATTTGTTTTAGCACCCCGGATCTGTTCTCTTAAACCTTTGTTCCGTTATGAACAGCAGATCACATCACCAAAGCTGTACTAAATGTTGCCTGGGGGAAGAAAAACCTTGGGCAAATTCTAAGAAGTGAAAGAATGGGTAAATAGTAGGATGTAAAATAGGTAACTTTTAGCCAAGAGAATTGTATGCACCTATTTAAGCATTGGGTATTAGAAACATCCAAAACTGTTTTGTGGGGTGCCCAATCCTTGGTTTGTATCTTGTATCAAAACAGACTTTTGACCAACATGAGTTAGGCCTGTTAAGTGGTAGCAACCAGTGCTGCAAATATTTGCGAACTGGTCTTATGTAGAATTTAGTGGGTTCATTTAAAATTTTCTGGGGTCACAGATAAAGGATAGAATGAGGAATGGCTTAGTTCAATATAAAGGGCAGGTTAACTATCTTGTAACTATCTTGAGAGCCAGTTTGGTGTAGTGGTTAATTGCCTAGACTCTGGGAGAACCAGGTTCCCCACTCCTCCACTTGCAGCTGCTGGATGACCTTGGGCAAGCCATAGTTCTGGCAGAGCTGTTCTTGAAAGAGCCGTTCTGGAAAGAGCTCTCTTAGCCCCACCTACCTCACAGGGTGTCTGTTGTGGGGAGGGGAGGGGAAGGGAAAGGGGTTGTAAGCCGCTCTGAGACTTATAGACAGCTCATCTCGATAGTGATGGGCGGGGTATAAATCCAATCTCCTCCTCTTCCTCTTTCTCTTCTTCTTCTTCTGCAGTCTCCAAGTCTTGTTCTCAAACTAAGTAAGTTTATGTGATCATAGGGGCAAGTCCTCAAACAACAGGTTCCTAACTCTATTAAATATAAGTGCATGTTTCTATGTTGTACATTCTGTCAATACATTTAAGTATGCCAAAATCTGCATGAAGTGTACATTTCTTTACCTTTTATTGAGAGGGTCTTTCAGTCTGTTTTAAACTGGATGAAAACCAGTTAATTCATTGGAAGTAAGAAATTGGGGGCTATAAAGAACTTTGGTTCCCTTAAAATTTTGTTCTGATTCAAAGTATGGTTCAGGCTTCGAATGCGGCCTGCTTGTGAGTTAAATAGAGTTCAAAACTGCCTTACTGAGAAAGAGCGAGGTGACCTTGTATAGCCCAGAAAATAGCACTTGCAGAGGGGAGTGAGAAGCCAGGTACCAGCTTTCCAATTTCAATAAGGCCCATGATTTGCACTTGTGGGAAAGAAGAAAGAGAGGAGAGTGGGTTTATATCCCACCCGTGACTACCCAAAGGAGTCTCAGAGCGGCTTACAAACTCCTTTCCCTCCCCCTCCCCACAACAGACACCCTTTGAGGTAGGTGGGGAAGAGAGAGCCCCTTCAAGAACTGCTCTTGAGAGAACAGCTCTGAAAAAATTTATGACTGGTCCAAGGTCACAGCAGCAGCTGCATGTGTAGGAGTGGGGAATCAAACCCAGTTCTCCCAGATTAGGGCCAAGCCTAGCTGTAGATTGGCTCTGTTCATTCCTCTCAGGTTGGAGCACCGCTTGTGTCACCTGTTCATCTATTGGTTCAACGCTTTGGCTATGTGTCATCACTAAGGGACCTTATTGGTTCATAGGCCTGGAACCGTGAGAGCCCCTTTACCCATAAAGATATAAGATTCTAATCTATTCTCAGTTTGATGGTGGCTACTTGAGATGTAGCCACGTAGACATCTTCTTGCTCACTTTGGCCTTCTTGGATACTTGCTTGCATGGACCATTCGGCTTTGGCTTGTGGTGGCTCAGGAGTAAAGCCACTTTGGATCACTGGAACTTCCACATGAGAATGAATAATACCATGTAACTTGGAACCAAGATATTATATTTTTAGTTAGCTTTTAAATCTCTAGCTTTATTGTTTTATTCTCACAGTCTTTTGTTCCTGTTTTGAAGCATTCTTGCAGCTTAATAAAAATATATATTAATTTACTTTTGTAGTAATTTGCTTTCACAGTCCTCAGTCTAAATCCAGAGCCTTGACTGGCATCCCACCTACAATTGTAATTGTCTTTTGTGAGAAACTCTGTGAGCCTACCTCGCAGGGTGGACTTTTTGGTTTAATCCCAGGATGGTTAGAAGCTTTGCCCTTTGGCTTCTGGACTGTTGGGTTAGTTAAAGGGGCGGGTGGCAGACTACCAAGCTGGTGTATGAAGAGTCACACCCCAGAGTTTTGTAATTTTATGTTGCAGCCCTGTACCAAAAGGTGCCTGGCCTGGGTGACCTTTTGACAGGGGCCTGTAAAGAATCATGGGAGGGGAAAACCATTTGGATGGCATTGGAAGTTTCCATCTCTTTCAGGGCTTGAACAGGCTGATTTGTTTTGCCCCCTCTTTTTCCCTTTAATGGACATACAGCTGTTCTCTTTATCATGTCAGTTTTAAGGGTTTTTTCCACCCCTACCCCTACGCCACTGTTCCATCAATGATATTCTAACCACCTACCCCATGTAGGGGTAGATGTCGCCCAATAGAGCTGGGGAAACATTCTTCCTGGTGCTCCTGCTGTGAAGAACTGGCCGCCAGTGTGGGACGTCGTCCATCTTGGATTTTATGTAAATTAATTAAGCACCAAATTTTATATCAGATATATTGTTTTATTATGCTGTTGCTTGTATATATATTTTAACTTCTGTAAGCCGCCCCGAGCTGAATACTGGATGGGGCGGGATATAAATCCCAAAAATAAATAAATAAATAAATAAAATAGTTGAATTTTTATAGTCTTGCTTTTCTGTATGCCTAAGGGAGTCCCCCATCTTAGGAGAGACACTGTGGGTGGCCTGGTTTGCTTCTTTTGTTATCATAAGGGGAGCTGACTCCTCTTTCTATACTGGAATCATGGGTGGACAATTTGAAAATCCTACTCCACCACTTCAGATCTCTTCCTCCAAACTTCTCTAAGTTCCCAAGGGCCCGAGGAGGTTGATTTCTGCTCTTTCTCTCATTTTTTTTATAGACAGCTGATCTCAACATTCCATCCTTTCTAGAGAATATTAGGTCGTTATCAGATAGATACTGGGAGAAGGAGTGTCCCAGGAAAAAGATTACGAAGAAAAACAATGCCCTTTCTCTTTAAAGGAAGTTCTTACCATAGAGTTCCTGGTGATTCCTAGAGCTACCTGGAAGTGAGATGGGTAGCTCTAAGAATCACTGGGAACTCTGTGAATAGAACTTCCTGTAAACGGATGAGGCCTTATTTTTCTTTTTTAATTTTTCTCCCCAGGATGATCACATCCCTCTCCCCTTTGGCACCAGTTTCCAAATGCTGATTCGGTGAACATCAGCAGGCAAAGGTCTCAATTCCCTGGAAGTCTCCTGCCATAAGTGGGAAAATGGGAACCTTCTCATCAGACTACTTTTACTTTTTTCTTTCTTTTGGTTAGTTTATAAAGTTACATTTTTATGCGTATCTGGAGTAGGCCTGTAGATGGACCACTAGGGAAGCAATGCTCCCTCCCCAATTTTCCCTGCCCCTTCCTCTCCTGGTCCCCCTCCCCTCCCCCGTGGTCTCCATGGTCTGGGAAGCCTGGGGCAAGTGGCATGCTGCCCTCCTCCCTCGCCGCCCTCGCAGGGGAGCACTCAGCTGGGGGATCAGGGAGGGGGAAGAAGCCTTGGGTGAGCAGCCTGCTGCCCTCCTCCCACGCCCTTCTCCCTGAAGCTCAGCTTGCACACTGCCTTAGGCTTCTTGGCCGGTGGCACCTTGATGCAGGGACAGCTGCTTGAGCACACCCAGCAGGCAGAGCCACGCAGCGGCAGCAGGACAGGCAGGGGCAAAGGTGTGCAGGTCGGCAGCCTCTCCTCGGTTGCTGGGGTTGCCTCTCAGGCTGGCACCTTCCTTGGATCCCCTCCCCGGCAGTCACTTCCTGGTGCCTATATCACGACCCCCCCCCCCAAAAAAAATTCTGGCTACAGGGCTGAGGACCACTGTGTGGCTTTCATCCTCTGCTCAGGTGCTTGCTAGTTTACTGTTAGATATAGCAACTCGCAGTTGTAATGGAAGGTAAAAGCAGTGAAGTCAAATTAGAGCAAAGGTGTTTTGTTTTTTTCCTGTTGTAATGCAGGTGATCCAGCAGTGGGAAAGAGCGCCTTGGTCCAGATGTTCTGCAATGATGGGGCTCATTTCCAGAAAAATTACACATTGGTGAGCCTCGAGGGGCCGTGGGTATTGAGGAGGAGGAGAGGGAACCGGCTTTTCACTAATGTGGGAATTGACCAGAGGGAATTTTACCACTACAAAGCTATGTATGGCATTCTTATCATGGGACTGCACAAGCAGTGCCAAGTATCTCAGAGCATATTTTAGGGAAACAAATCTGAATGGTTATAAGCGGTGTCTTCCTCTAGGCCAGAACAAAGTTTGAGTCCAGTGACACCTTTAAGACCAAAAAAGTTTTATTCAAGGCATAAACTTTCTTGTGTAAGCACATGAAAGCTTATGCCTTGAATAAAGTTTCGTTGGTCTTAAAGGTGCCACTGGGACTCTAACTTTATCCTGCTGCTTCAGACCAACATGGCTACCCCTCCTGAATTTATCTTCATCTAGGCCAGTTTGCACACTTAGCTGGACATTGATTTTGTGTGTGTGTGTGTGTGTGTGTGTGTTCAAAAAGACCAGAATTTTCTCTTTTTTCCCATTGCTGATGTAAGGCAACATACACAAAAGCCTCATTAGTAATATTGGTAATATTTTGTTTTTAGGAGGAAAGAGATGTGCATTAGAGGAAAGGTGCTTATTGAAGAGGGTTGTCAGCCAAAAAAGCATGTTAACCAGATCCTAAAAAATCTTGAGCCTGCTCTAGTGAACAGATCACACTTACTCTGTGAACCAAATCTTTTTATTTACCAGCCAAGTTTTTTTTTCAGACTAGTCCCTGACGCCCATTTTTCAGATTTCAAGAGTTTCTATGACAAAAAAACCCCTGTCATTTGGAGGTGTTATAAGGGTGATTTAAAAGACCTGAAAGGGCTCTGTTGGCCTCAGGCTAGCACAGTATGAAAATAAAGTGGCTTTCTCTGAATCTTGCTGACATGTTTTCCTTATTTGGGCTGACAGACAACAGGAGTGGAACTGCTGGTGAAGACAGTACCTGTTCCAGAAACCAGTGATAGTGTGGTAAGCTCAGCTATGATTTAAACAGAGGGCTTTTAAACAAACAAACACTCTCTTGAGGGGATTTTTGCATTGACTTTGCAAGAATGAACCTCATTCAGTTAGATGAGTATGCATTAAATTATATGTTAAACCTCAGTGTTGACAGTGGGAAAATGGAATATCTGATATATTCCCAAGAGCTTTATGCTCATTTAAGGACAAACAAGGATGGGCAACCCATCCTGCTGTGCTTTTTTTAACTAAATAGTAGCTGTGGAGGCCCTAAATCTAATCCAGCACACTGAAGGGGGACAGGTTTAACTCCCCCTCCCCTCCGGCTGCCATTTTTGCACTCTTATTTCCAGGCCCTTCCTCTCTACCATCATGAAGTTGATGTTTTTCCCGATAGGGCAAACATATCAAAGGTATACGTATGTACCGGTTGGCATCCCAGTTGCTTGCTTTCATATGGAAGGAGGTGATTATTCTGGGAGCAGAAACTCTATCTAATGGAATACACATCACATGGTCTGTATAGCCAACCTAGGAAGACTCTGCCCCTGTGCAGATTATTGGTGCTGTTACCATGTGGCCAATCACTTATGAGCTGGTTATTGCCATGGAGGAGATAGGAGACAGGGAGAGAATGGCTCAAATCATGTGCTGTGTATTCAGTGTTTACAAAATAGTGAATTTCATGCCCCAAGTTGCTCTCTAGGTCACATACACTGCTCTCTAGGTCACATACACAGAGTCAGTTTGGTGGTGGTTAAGTGCGCGGACTCTAATCTGGGAGAACCGGGTTTGGTTCCCCATTCCTCCACTTGCAGCTGCTGGATGACCTTGGGCAAGCCATAGTTCTGATAAGAGCTGTCCTTGAAAAAAGCAGTTTCTCTCAGAGCTCTCTCAGCCTCACCTACCTCACAGGGGAGCAGAAGGGAAAGGAGTTTGTGGGGAGGGGAAGGGAAAGGAGTTTATAAGATGCTCTGAGACTCCAAGTGAAGGGCGGGGTATAAATCCAATCTCCTCCTCCTCCTCCTAAATCATTGTTCAGAACCTGTTCTGAACAGATGGGTTTGTATTCAATAATCACTGTGCTTTGAAAGAATCATGGCTTAGTGATGGAGCATATAGTTTGCATGCAGAAGGTCTCTGGTTTAATCCCCAGCAACTCCAGTTAAAGGATTTCAGGTAGGAAGTGTTTGAAAATATTTTTTCTCTGCCTGGGAACCACTGCCAGTTCAGAGTTGGCAATACTGAGCTAGACTGGCTGGAGTTGTGACTTAATTTAAGGCAGTTTCATATGTGTCTTGTAGGTCACGATTTTAGTAGCTTTTGGGGGAGGGAGGCATTTTCCACCAACACTGCTTTGGCTGGAGAAATTTACTTCAGTGTAGAAGATTCTGTAGCTTCATATTTCTTTTGCTTCTGCTTTCAGGAACTTTTCATCTTTGACTCAGCAGGCATGGAACTATTTTCTGAGATGCTAGATAAATTGGCAAGTACAACATAAAAGCCATCATTCAGCAGAGGAGCTGCGAAGCAAACCTAACCCCTGCGTCCTGATTAAAGCTTGGGCAAGAACACAGAGTCACAGTTTTTGCATCCCTTTTCTCTACAACTACTTTTAAAAAAAACGTTAGAGTTAACTCTAAAACATTCTCAAATCAAAGGAATGAAAAATGTATTCACTGAAGTTGATGTTACCATTCAGTATCCCCATGGGGAAAGGGCTAGAATTTCTGCCCAACACTTGGAGCAGCATTGGAAAAGCTATCCCCAAGAGAAAGGAGATATGGGGGAGGGAGCCAGTCCCGTAAAGCAACGGTGGGCAGAAATGGGGCCACAGACCACCAGTGCAAGTAATATGAAGCGCCTGCTGGATTCTGGAATTATTGCAAAGAGTGTTGGACTAAGTGGGCCTTGGTCTGATGCTGCAGGCGATTTTTACATTCTTACATGTTTACATTTTTATGTAAGTCGCCCTGAGCCTGCTTTGGCGGTGAGGGCGGGATATAAATTGAACAAATAAATAATAAATAAATTAAACAAGAGTGTGTATTCTGAATGACAGCACAGATTACTTACGTCTTAGCTGTTGAGGCTCTTGAGTATTCTCGTCCTGTAAGTTTCAAACACACTGGTGGACCACAAGGTTTCACTTTTTGGGTTTTTTAGCATGTAGATAGTGCAAAACTGAAGTCAGTCGACCTTGGCCCTAAAAATTTCACTGCCTTTTTGCAAAACAAATGAAAATGTACAGAGGCCATATTTTCTTAAAGCGACTCCCCCCATTACCCTAATATATCCTTGGCTTCAACCAAATTCCTTTGTTCCTTATATGATTGGCTGGTTCATCTCATTGTAAAACTCTGGGGTAATTACTATGATGTTTCTTGAATGCTGGTTATGAGAACTTCAATGTTGGCTGTGTCAAAAGAGAAGTTAAGGTGTTCTTTCTTTCTGTCTTCCTCAGGTGCTCTCTATTTGAGTATTTTTAGACATCTACTGCCAATGATTTTTTTTACAGTCTCAATTTATACTACAGTTTCTATAGTGTGGTATAGACCCACTACTGCTACACAATAAGTTCTCTGTCATTCTTTTATTCTTGGGTGATTTGGGGGGCAAGAGGGTAGCTGGGACTGAGAAGTGCATCATTCCCTTTGAGTATCAGAGACATTTTCATAGGGGATGGATTGTGGGAGAGTGTTGTAGTGAGGATTCCGCTTTCTGTCACCGGTCTCGAGCCAGTTTGGTGTAGTGGCTAGAGTGTTGGACCCAGGTCTGGGAGACCCAAGTTTGAATCCCCACTCTGCCATGGAAGCTGGCTGGGTGACTGTTAAATAGTGGGTTCCATGAATGAGCAGACTCCCGGTCTAGTGATCAGCTCTACTTTATTCAGTGATTTCAGCCAGAACAAGACTGTAGACCAGAGCCATAGCTCGGTTATATTGCCTGCAATGGGCACACCCCAACACACCCCACTCCCAACAATAGGCTATTTATAAAACTTTACATCTTAACTGGTTACTGCCAGAATCCTGTTGGTCTATTGTTATTCGGCTCCAAGCTCACCCTGTCTCTGGCAGCACAGTCCTGCAATGTTTCAGTCGCAATACATAACAGTGACCTTGGGCCAGTCACACACTCTCAACCTAATCTGCCTTACAGAGTTGTTGTGAAGATAAAATGGAGGAGGGGGGAAAGATGTAAGCTGCTTTGGTGCTCCATTGGAAAGAAAGGCCAGAGTACAAATGAAGTAAAGAAAAGTGACTCTTGGGTCTGTCAGTTTCAATAGAGCTGACAGGGTTTTTTTTTTTTTCTCTTGCACAGTGGGAACAGCCCAATGCTGCCTGCATTGTATATGATGTCACCAACGAGCAGTCGTTCAATAACTGTGCCAAGTGGCTAGAGAAGCTGAGAACCCAGACTTCTGGAGTACACATCCCAGGTAGGAGGCTGTAACATTCCAAACGTATCTATTTTTTTTTCCAATAAGTGTTTTTTACTTTGAACAATATATACAACAGTACATTCATAACATATATTGACGCTATGCAATAATCAACTTTCTCAACCCTTAAGAGCCCTTTTAAAAATATAACAGATCTATGTAAGCAGTTCAAATGTATCTATTTTATGCCTAGATCTCTTCCAGATTATTTATTGCTGACAGCCACATCTTAATCCCAGGCAGTGCAGTAGCTTTCCTCACTTCATTCAGTCGGCATCTGAAACACAAGAAGTGCATATTCTAAACAATTCAGTTATGATCTTTTTCTCCACTAACTTGTCAAGCAATCCACTTTCCAGTCTGTGCGCGTTCACTCTTTGGGTTTTGTACTGTGATAGTTCAGTTTCTTTTCTCCTTTCTTTTTTAGGTGTGTTAGTGGGCAATAAGACGGATTTGATTGATAGGCGAGTTGTGGAGCAGAAACAGGCACAAGAGTGGGCAGAGACCAGTGGCCTTGAGTACTGCGAGATATCAGTTGTGAGTTACATAACTGGGTGTGGGTGAAGAATTCCATTCACTTTCAGGATAAGGAGGTCCTGGAGTATTGTCTTGTTCCATTTAGCTCATCTCCAGCAACAAATGTGTGATCAAGTAGCAGTCCTCACCATCGTTTTTTTAATTTCTTTGCTTTCTTTACAGAAAGAGATGGAAAATTATGAGGTCCCTTTTCACATTCTGGCGAATTCCTTCCACCAATTATACAAAGAGAAGGTGGAAATCTTTCACTCTCTAGTGTGAGTCTACTGAGTATAGCCTGCTCAACTTATTTCCTTTCTTTGAGCCTAGAAATAATCAAATGTTTAACTATCAAAAGACTAAATAGTATGAGAGTCGTTATCATTGCCTTATGAATATCTCATTCCAGTAATTCTGACAAAGCCAAAAATAAACCACAGAAAGAAATTTTCTCTGGTTATTATTTGTGATTATTATTTTTGGTCTCGTCTGTCTGGGTTTTGTTTTTGTTTTTTGTGATTCGGTAGTTTGGTGGGGGTTTTCCTCCATAATTATACTGCTTAGATATTGTAAAAGCATGTCTTTGTCAACTCTTGTGAGGAATTTCGCAGAACAGATCAAATCAAAAGAGGTGACAGACGGCATACCACTGTCTGTACACATCAGTCCAGCCAAGCTGGTAGAATTTAACCATTGGGAGTAGATACTGTATTGAATACCGAAGGCAAACGAAAGAACCACGGCACTGTAAAGTGTTGCTACGGGTGTTTTTCCCCTCTTAAGGCGGAACCCAGTGGGTTAGCTTTCATAGCTTGGAGCTCTGCATCATTACTACCAACATGGATCTCTGTTCCTGATTTCTCCAAATGTCATGCTTATTTTGATTTGGCTCATTTTTATTTTTATTTTGGCTGTTGGAAGCAAGCTGTCTGGCTGCCAAGGGCCTTTTTTTCTCTACAGTGTATAATTTGAGAATGCACTGCCCTCTGCTGGTGCCCAGATAATTTAGGTTGGGGATGTGGGGTCAAGAAACAGCCACCTTTTGTGGCTTTGCATAACATGCTGTTAATGGCCTCGTATTTGGTTCAAGAATCTGCGGGCCAAAAAAATTTGCTTTCACTAAATTCTTCCTTTTTTGTTTTTTAGTAATTATTATATTATGCAGCGATTATTAATGGGGCTTCTGACATTACGCTGTCATATATAAATAACTGGTTTTAGGTGAATGATATGGAGTTTTTAAATTGAGGGATTATACTGGAAAGACTTGTCACAACGTATTTATTCTAATATTTTATTCTTCCTTATCCAAGGGCTCAGGGCAGGTTGTAACATGCTGCATATAAGCCTAAAAATATAACATAAAATCCAAACAACTCTAGCAATATTAATACAACCACAGATAAATGCACACATACCTATGGAGCTTAACACCATTTATTAAATGCTATTCGAAATGGGAAAGGCTTATGACTTTCAATAAGCCCATCAACAAATGGCAAAAAAAGCAGAAATTGGGCAAATCTAATGAAAGCAATACCCAGCCTAGGTTATTAAAGCAATCCATATAGCTTTGACTAGTGGTATGTGGTGAGAACTTCTGTATATGGCCCATTGAAACGAATCGGAGTTGTGTGATGATGTCCACGCAGAGTCCCGTTTATTTTAGCAAGATTTGCATAGAAGAATTTTCTGGCAAGTTGTGTATGATTTACTATGGACTTTGCTGTTGATTAAAGACAAAAATAATCTGTTGAGCAAACTTTTAGTAAGTATATTGCACACAGTTGCTTAAAATGGCCCTTTTACTAAATAAACTATTAAAGTAGAACCTGCCCTTTAAAGTGAAAAGAGCTGAATGAACTCATTTCATATAAGATGAATGGGTAAGAAGTGAAGGAGGGATTGTGTCTGGGCAGACCTGGGTAATGCCAAAAAGAGTGCAATTAAAGGCAGAATTAGTACGGCTGTTGCTGGAATCATCTAATAAATCTCAATCAGGAGCTGTCTCTTAAGAGCAAACAGGATTGTGACACAGGTGCTGACAGCAGTGGGAAAAAAGCTACATTCCCATTCTTTATGCTGCTCTCTTTGAGTGTTTGCACTTACATTAGCAGAGGAAAACTTTGCTTTGGTCCCAAAGACAACTTTCCTGCTCACGACCGAAGGAGCCACTGCTTCCCTCTGCTTCTGACATTCTCTTGGAACCATCAGTATAGCCTGTTGATAATAATTTAAAAAACCTCTACATTTTATCTGTCCAATGTTTGGTGGACTCTTTCCCATGCATTCTCAGTGTATCTCTACTTATTCTAATGTATCCTCGTGAACTGCCAGTTGTGCCCATTATTTTCATCAAAGTATACGTAGGTAGAGGGAGGTAATGCTTCTATATATTGAGAGTGAAAATAGTGGATGTATATCGCTATAGAGATCTCATTATCTAGGGGGATCAATGGTTCATTCAGTAGAGATGGTTTCTTCTTGTGCTATTCTTTTCTGTAATTCATGTGATCTAAAGCACCAATATTTAGGTGGATGGAGAACTGCTCGGTCATAAGGTCTTACAGCAGTTGTTTGGACACTTGTGTGTGTGTTTGGGGGGGCAGCATCATTCCCAGGCTCTTCTTTCCCTCAAGGAGCTGCAGACATTGGTGAGGTGGAGGCATCTTCCCTCCACACTGGATTCTGGTTGAGTGGTAACAGCTACAGTGCTGTTCTTGGGAGGCTCCTGTCCTCCCAAGGGAAACGTTTATGTCCTTTTCTTGTCACAGCCTCACATATCTCTTCCCCTAGATCGGTGTCTTGTCCTTTTTCATCCATCAAAGAGAAGCCTGGAACTTCTTATTTTCCTTTGTTATCTGAGATAAAATCAAAATCTGGCAATATTTATAGGGGCAATGTGATAAACTCTGTGTGTCAAGCAAGAGTTGAAAAAATGGTCAATTCACTGGGCCTCTTTCAAGCCACTTAAGTATGAACTGGAGCAACATGGAGTTAGTAATAGGAACGGTGACTAAGTTCTGGAAAAGTGCACATGAATGGCCAGCAGGTAGGCAAGGGTGACTTCCATGTCACAGACCTCTGCACAGGTATGGCATTTACACCCGGATAGTTGCTACATCCTTAACCTCACTGTTAGTTAATGTCTGTTGGCTGCTGCAGGCAAATTAATTCTTAACAGCCTACACTGCAGTTGCCTTTTGAATCAGCAAAATATAGCATTTGCAACAGTCCTGAAGTAACTGAAGGAAGTATAAATGAAAAGATAATATTTAGGAAAGAGTGGCAGGTTCCACCCATGCAGGGCAGTGAGGTGGCTGAGAGCAGAAGTGATACAGTGGGCCCCATACCACTTCCGCTTGCTGGTGGAAGATCATATTTTGTAATGCTTCCCTGTGTTTTAAAAAAAAATCCTGCAAATGGAAGACCAGCTTAACAAATAAAAAGGGGGTAATGGCAGGGGTCATTTCGTAGAAAAAGAGGTCCAAGAGCTCATTAGCATAACCCATTAGCATAACTTATTTGCATATGCCACACCCCCTGACATCACCAGAAGTGTGTCAGAAGGCAACGCCCACTGCAACTTACCTGGCTGCTTCTTGCTCCTTGTGGCCCGGGGCTGCCGGGAGCAGGGGGCGGGGCTTCTTGCATGTGCCCGCCCCCTGGGCTCTTTACTGCCGGAGCTCCGCTCCTGTGCGCTCCTGCACAAAATGACCCCTGGGTAATGGTCAGTGTTCCCTCTAAGCTGAGTTAGTGTGAGCCAGCTCTCAGTTTTTTAGCCTCCGGCTCACACATTTGTGCCTTCGCTCAGGAAGGACGGCTCCAGAGCAAACCGATTTATGCAGCAGCCGAATCGCTGGCTCAGAACCTCAATGTCAGTCGCTCACAAGGTAGAACTTTTGCTCACAAGGCTCCACAGCTTAGAGGGAGCATTAGTAACGGTAGTACCTTCTAATCGACTGTGCTAGCTTTCTATTTGCATGGAGGTTTTTTAATGAAAAAGAAACATTTGAAATAGCCTTCAGTCTGTCATCTGCCATCTGAAATTGTGCAGTCCTTTCTGCCACCTCAGATCTCAGTACCACCTCCTCCCGCAGGTGTGAACCAAGCCTAAAAGCTGGCTTTCAAAATGAATATCCTCCTGGAGTCTGCTTTTAGGTTTCTCTCCATGGAAGCT